CATGTTTGGGTGTCCTCATGGTTAGGGGCAGTGAAAACTGACTCCAAGTTGCATACTCACAAGTGAAATTTTGGATGATATGGTGGTATATTTATCTTCAACTCTGAGACAGTACCAAATTACCCTTTAAATTATATCAGCTTACACCACTGTAGTAGAGTGTACTTGGATTTACAGACTCTACTTAGGTCACCAACACTTGCTCTGTTGTCAAAGTTCTTTATGCTTTGTAAAATAAATATGAAATGGTATCTCATTATTTTAAATATTTCTGACCCTGTGGCTGGCCATTTTGTGAGTAGATTTTTTTGTTTTGAAGTGTAAAAATAAATATAGGCAAATATATCAGTCTTTTTCTATATAATTTCCTTTATGGATTAGCCTTTTTGGGTTTTAATATTTTAAAACTTGTTTTCTACCTGATCCAGCAACATTTGTTAATTGGCTGGCTTATCTTTCACTATTAATTTGTAATACTACCACAGTAAGACACACACACACACACACACACACACACAAATATATGTATGTATGTATTTCTGAGTTTTGAATTCTACTTCGGTTTATTCATTCATTCATTGGTTTACCAAATATAATTACCAGGAATATACCAGATGCTATTAGTACTGGGATATGTTAGCAAATAAAAGTTGCAAGTGTAATCTGTGTTTGTGAGAATGTTAGGATTGGTGTGTGTGGTTGGTAGAAAAATGAAAACTTAGCATATCATTGGCAAGCAGTGCTATGTGGAAGATGAAGGTAGAGTAAGGAGGATAAGACTGAGGTGCTGGCTAGGCTGCGTAAAAGGGGTTGCCGTTTAAGTAGGAGGGGTCAGGGTGCTTTGAAGGAAGTCCCTGGCAAGAGCATTCCAGTCCTGTGGTTGGGAGTTGGCTTAATATTATCCAGGGCAAACAAGGAGAGCCTGTGTGGCTGAAACAAAGTAAACAAGGGTTGAGGAGAGGAGGCAAGTAGAGAAGTAGTTAGGAGCCATCCAGTGCATGGACTTGGAGGCTGTGGTAAGGACTTCCATTTTTATTTTCACTGAGAAGATTGGAAGGAAGCCATTAAAACTTTTAAACAGAGGAGTGACATAATCTGACTTAAGGATTTAAGGCTCACACTGGCTACTGTGTAGAGACCTATGATGGTGAAGGTGGAAGCAAGGAAACCAGGAGATGGCTGGTTGGTGCTTGAACTTGGGCAAAGTGGTGGAGGTAAGCAGGAGTGTTATACTTTTATTTTTTCTGTCTAATAAGTTTTGATTCTATGTTAGCCAGTGTGCAAATGATGGTAGATTTCCAGACAATGTCTTTAATCAGAGAAGGTTCCCCTTTCTTCTGCTGGCAGACAGGCTGAGGGGACTATACAGTTAGGATCAAACCAGGCCAGTGGTCGGCAAACTGCGGCTCGCGAGCCACATGTGGCTCTTTGACCCCTTGTATTTTTAGCAAAGGTCAGTTTAGAAGTTCCTTAATTAAGTTAATAACAATGTACCTACCTATATAGTTTAACTTTAAAAAATTTGGCTCTCAAAAGAAATTTCAGTACTGTTGATATTTGGCTCTGTTGACTAATGAGTTTGCTGACCACTGAGCTAGACCAGTGGTGCCTTTGTGGTTTTAGTGAGATCACTGGCTTATTTCTGTCATTTTGGTGTGGTCCTTCTGAGCTTGAGAGTTCTAAAGAGACTATTGATAATTCATTTCTCCCCCCACAAATATTTGTCCACTGACATTAATCATAAAATAATTATAACAAAATTATTAGGAACATCTACCATCTACTAATTTTCTGGAATTTCAGTATTGAGGCAAGTGACTTTTAGTACAGAGTTTGTGGCAAACAGACATGAATGTTCAATGCTCTCAGAGAAGTAAAATTTGAAAAGTAGTATATTCAGTTAGAAGATCTTAAAATATATAATATTGCTTTTCCTATGAAAATGTTTTTAGGTCATTTAAATGCTAAAAAATTAGCCACTTACTAATTTAGTCAGGTTGCTCTAAGAACTTTACTGTTTAATTGGATCTTAAGCTCATATACATCTATGAGAGAGAATCATCAATCAGCTGCCATATATATATATATATATATATATATATATATATATATATATATAACTTTTTGATATTTTCCTAAGCTGTTTATCATAATAATTAAGAAGAGGGACTTTGAAACTTATCAAATTCTATTCCCACTCTGCCACTTACTACTTGTTTCACTTTGCAATCTACTTTCCTCTGTACCTTTGTTTCTTCATCTGTGAAATAGAAACGGTAATAGTATCTATTATAGGCTTGCTGTGGGAGATAAACTGATAAATCCATAGAGATTACTTAGCATATCATGCTTCATACTTAGTAAGCACTCAGTAAATGTTAGGTTTACTATGTTTATTTCCCATTTTTTATTTTAAATATTTGGCTTCCCAAATAAAACAAACATATATTATATATAAAGACCCGATGCATGAAGATTCGTGTAAGAACAGGGCTTCCTTCCCCTGGCTGCTGGCACCACCTTCACTCTGCCAAAACCGCCTTTTTTTGCCTTCCCATGCTGCCCAGAGGCCCGGAGTGGCTGGGGCAGTACAGAATGCCTGCGTTGTTGCTATGGCGATGATGCAAGCATCCCACCTGGCCCCTTGGCGCCTGTATTTGCAAATTATCTCTCCATATTTATTGGGTTAATTTTCATACTCACTCCTGATTGGTGGGCATCATGAAGGTATGGTCAATTTGCATCTTAATCTTTTATTAGTATGTGTAATATGTGTGTGTGTGTGTGTGTGTGTGTGTATATATATATATATATATATATATATGCACACATACATACATATTACACACACTAATAAATATATATGGTTCAAAAGACATATGCAGTTGAAACCAGTTTGGCTTATGGGTAGAGCGCTGGCCTGCGGACTGAAAGGTCCCAGGTTCTATTCCAGTCAAGGGCACGTACCTTGGTTGCGGTCACATCCCCAGTAGGGGGTGTGCAAGAGGCAGGTGATTGATGATTCTCTCTCATCAATGTTTCTAATTCTCTATCCCTCTCTCTCTTCCTCTCTGTAAAAAAATCAATAAAATATATTAAAAGAAAAAAAGACAGATGCATTATTACATCCTCTGTCGTCAAAAAGCCTTGCTGTTTTAACATATCTAATAGTTGTCATTTCCAGACCTGGATCTTAGTTTCTGACTTTGAATGTTAGTACCTGAGAATTTGGTTACCAACTTCTAGAAGCAAAGCAGCTTGAATTAATATACTGCTTTCAAGTAGATGGGAATCAGTAATTTTGATTGCTGTTGTAGATTTATGAATAAAACTCCTGTAAGCATTCATGTACAGATTATAGAGTAGCCTTAAGTTTTCACTTCACTTAGGTAAATACCTAGAAGTGGGATCCCTAGGCCATGGGGTAGGGAGGGTAGGTGTACCTTTAAGTTTTTAAGAAACTGCAAAACTTTTCCAAAGTGGCTGTACCACTAGAAATGGCAGTCTCATTGCCCCTTATCAGTGACAACACTTGCTATTTTCAGGGGTTTCATTTACTTCACAATTCTAATAGGTGTCTAGTGGTATCTTCCTGTGGTTTTAATTTGTATTTCCTTAATGAGTTAATTGCATGATGAGAGACATGAAGCACATGCCAGCAGAAGAAACTGTAAATGAAAAGGCCTTTGGATAATTGTATCTGATAAAAGTCACTGAAAGAAGGCCACTGTGACTGGACTGTCATTGTGAAAAGGCTACTCCGGCTGCAGCAGGAACTCTGGAGGGCGCGCTGGGAACATGTGGCTACTATGGTGGCCCAGGGGACAGATGATGGTAGTTTGGACTAAGGCAGCGGTTTTCAACCAATATGCTGCAAGAATTTTTAAAACATGCAATACCTGATATTTAGTCAGGGGCACTGACCTCTTCTATCTTAGATTGTCAAATAAACAAAGACAGTAGCCAACACTACAATGACTGTCTGATGTGATTCAATCAAAATAGATCTTTTTTTGGCAGATAGGCAAAAAAAAAATATTTTTGGCTGGGGTGCTGCAGACTTTTAGTAAACAATTTGTGTGTGCCACAAAATGAAAAAGGTTGAAAATCACTGTTATAGGCTGAAGTGGGCTTGAGAGATTTTTATGAAGAAATATTGATACGTCATGATGATAAACTGGATCTTGAATGCTATTGGATTGAAAGGTTAAGAAGACAGACATGGGAAGGATTATCTAAGTTTATTTATAATTACATGGGTCATGACCTCCGCTGTGTATATTTCAGCACCTCACTCAGCACAAGGCATGTATAAATATTTGCTGAAAATGAATGAGCATTGTTTTACTTATGAACACATTATATTCAACTACAGTATAAATTATGAGGAGGAAATCTATTCAGTAGAATTATACCCAATAATTTATCCTTTATATTGAAATTTAAAAATACACTGTACATTCAACGGGACTTAGACTATAGTTTATTTTTGTATAGTTTTTCCTAATTACATTTGTGTGACAAGCTCATATGCAGTACAGTAATTTTATAAGAGAACTTATACTGAATCTTTACTATTTTTCTTATTATTAAAGTGGTTCCCAAATTTGTTCCCCCCATGCAACACATTTTAGCTTTGTCATAAATAATTCTAGTTTTTACCGATTCAAAAAATTAGAAAGGATATATTGAAATCTATTATAGTTTCTTCAAGTTCCTTCTGCTCTTCTCCTCAATTATGCTGAATTACTAACACACACACACACACACACACACTCTCACACTCACACTTTACTGTGGAAAATGTTATTGGTACTGCAACTATTTTGGACGAGTATTCTCCTTAAAGTAAGGAATTGAAACCTGTACAATATTTTTATTCTAAAACCTTAATTCATTTGGTAAAGCATATTTGTCACTAGTAATATCAATGTTCGAATTCTAAATGTTAACATCACAGGCGACGATGCTCACACTGCTTGTACGGATGTGCCTTGCAGGTGTGTTCTGCTCCCGCTCTTGGGAATGAAGCCTCCCCAGCAAAGCCTGTATCTGCTTGTGGACTCTGTTGATGAAGGCTGTAATGTCACTGAAGGCGAACAGACGTCCACCAGCTTGTCGGGGACCGTGGCAGAGTTGTTAGCTGGCCACCATGAGTTCTTTCCACCATGGCTACTGCTTCTCTGTTCTGCCCGAAGACAGAGTAAGGCTGTTACTAAAATGTTTACTGGTAAGCATGATTCCTTCCTGCTACCCTCCAGTGGTTTTCATTGATAAACTAGTCTCTGTGGCTCCTTACAGTGGAAAATCTGGTGGTTGCTTCCAGCAGCTCTTTGCAACAGGACTTTTTTAAAGTTGTGTTAAAAATAAGCCATGGAATGTTTTAAGATCCTTTAATATTACCTTTTCTAATATTCTTTTCCTAATTTTCTTAGTGAAGATCATGAGTATTTCATGCCATGGTAGCTGCTATAGATCTTTAGAGCTTCATTGATTATGCTGTTATGTCACTGTCAGTCAGTGATATTCTAACTAGACTAAGCATCTTGAGAGTTGTGAATATGCCTTTTTGAAAATCAGTGGTAGCCCTGGCCAGTGTGGCTCAGTTGGTTGAGCTGGTTGAGCGTTGTCCCATGCACCAAAAGGTTTCTGGTATCAGATCAGAGCACATGCCCAGGTTTTGAGTTCAATCCCCAGTCAGGAGTGTGCACGGAGGCAACTGATTGATATTTCTCTCTCTCTTCCTCTCCCTAAAATCATTAAAAACATATTAAAAAAGTAAATCAATGGCAGTTACCAAGAAGGATTTTCTGGTGTGAGAGGAGAGACAGAGGCAACAGCTTTTTAGGATACCTCTTGAAATAAATCCCTTTAAAAAAAAAAATCCTTTCCTGATATATGAGTAAACAATTGGTATAATGTAAAATGTACATAATCAGTTGTTTTTTCTTTTTTAACTTTTTTTCTGACTCAACTGTTCTACTTTTCTTACTACCACAATAAAGTTGTGATCCTGATAGATCATATACAGCATTCTTTGTGCTTTATGAAATAAAAAAAGAGTGTAAAACAAAGACCACTCACAGGATTTATAGTTGGAAAGAAAATAATTAAGTTATTGTTTAAGTAGCTGTGTCAATTTTAAGTAGTTCATACTATACACTTTATAGTATGGTGAAACCTTATTAATTTGTTCAAATTATTTCTTCCCTCTATAGGTTGTCTCTTAGATTTCCTTGCTGCTAATGGCAGTACTTTTAGTTTCTATGTATAGTATTTTTTGTTTTTGATAAAAACAGTTGTTAAGTTTGGGGTTAAAATGACAAGAGTGAACACTGATGGAGCATCTTAAGCCATCTCATCATGCAGGCATTGTTTCATCTCACATTATCACAAGAAGAGAGAGACCACATTCACATAACTTTCATTACAGTATATTGTTATAATTTTTCCATTTTATTATTAACTATTTTATTATTAACTATTCATCTTTCTGTGAACTTTATCAGAAATATTTATGTATAGGAAAAGACAGTATATATAAGGTTAGGTACTATCCATGGTCAGGCAATCCTGGGAATGTATCCCCTACACATAAGGGGGGGCTACAGTGATTCTTTTCCATCCTGTTCTAGCAAGCCAGAAATTAAGTTAATGTTGACTCCTCCTCTCTTTCCTTCTCCATACTCGCTCAGCTCTGTGCATCTAGCTCTTACAAATAATTCCCAAACTCACATTTCATTTGTATCTGTTCTGCTGTGGTTGTTCAGGCCCTTAGTGATTCTTATCTAGATGGATCACAGGCTCTTTGCAAAGTCTTGCCTCCATAGTAACAGGTGACCATCTCTAATCTCTGCTCAATTTCTAGAGTTGTTTCTCTTAAGGGAATTAATTTGCTCAGTTTTTTTCTGCTGTAAGATGAATACGTGTGTTTAATAAATTCCTATCTGTAAATCAGGATATCATCTCCCTTTAGAAAATGAAATTATGGTTCCCTTTAAAGAAGTTAAAAGTGAATTTCAGATAGCTTTAACTAGTACGTATGTTGGTTTAAATATATTAAGCTGCTTTATTTTTACAATGCTGAAGTTTTTGTAGCAAGTTGCATCATAAGGTTCAAGCTATTTATTGACAACCTGACATTTAATTTGACAACCTGTAAAATAATGTTATTTCAAGGCCATGGCAGGTGATATTCTAACTGGATATGAATATTCAGTCCCCTAATTAAAACTAGTTTATACTTAGTTATGCAGGTAGAAATATATAACATTTTTAAATGAAAAAGATCTGCTGTAGAAACAAGCAAATCTTATTTGTTGCTTTCTGCACTTTTTTTCCTAATCATTTGAGTGTTCAGAAAATCTTAACATGCCTTTATGGATATGTATGTATGTATGTATGTAAGTAAGACTATCTAATGCTTATCACTGAAGTTGAGAGAGGCACAGAGCCACTACAATATGTCCCATTTGTAAACTGGAAAATGAAATTGTTTCTCTGCTATCAGTGTGTCATAGAAGGAAAAGAAAACTGATTTCTATACTAACAGGTATGGATTTCTTAGTATTAGTTCATGTATTATTGATTTATTTGCTTATTGGTTTATTATACACTGAAGACATTTTCTGAGTGTATGGCAACTACTGTAATTGTTTTCAAATGATGACATCTATTTTTTTTGTCTCTTTAGGTTTTCGAAAAATAAGTTTAGATGACCTTCGGAAGGCATATATTGTTAAGGATGTGCAACAGTACATTCTCCATCGTTTAGATCAAGAAGAAGCTTTGCGACAACACCTCACAAAAGAGACTGCAGAGATGTTAAATCAACTGCACATTAAAAGCAGTGGGTGCTTTCTTTATCTAGAACGGGTTCTAGATGGAGTTGTAGAAAATTTTATTATGTTACGAGAGATCCGGGACATCCCAGGAACTCTAAACGGTCTCTATCTCTGGCTGTGTCAAAGACTCTTTGTGAGAAAGCAGTTTGCAAAGGTTCAGCCTATTTTGAATGTGATTCTTGCTGCCTGCCGACCTTTGACCATAACGGAATTATATCATGCAGTATGGACCAAAAATATGTCATTAACCTTGGAAGACTTTCAACGCAAGTTAGACGTGCTCTCGAAACTCCTTGTCGATGGACTAGGAAATACTAAAATCCTGTTTCACTACAGCTTTGCCGAGTGGCTTCTGGACGTGAAACACTGCACACAGAAGTATTTATGCAATGCAGCAGAAGGACACAGAATGCTGGCTATGAGTTATACCTGCCAAGCCAAGAACCTAACACCATTGGAAGCACAAGAATTTGCATTGCACTTAATTAATTCAAACTTACAGTTGGAGACAGCTGAGTTGGCTCTGTGGATGATATGGAATGGTACACCTGTCAGAGACTCCCTGTCAACCTTAATACCCAAGGAGCAAGAAGTGCTACAGCTGTTGGTGAAAGCTGGTGCTCATGTGAACAGCGAAGACGATCGCACGTCATGCATAGTTCGTCAAGCCTTGGAGAGAGAGGATTCCATTCGGACCTTACTAGATAACGGAGCGTCAGTAAATCAGTGTGATTCGAATGGGAGAACACTACTGGCTAATGCTGCGTACAGTGGCAACCTTGACGTGGTGAATTTACTTGTCTCTAGGGGGGCAGATTTAGAGATAGAAGATGCTCACGGGCACACACCACTTACCCTGGCTGCTAGACAGGGACATACGAAGGTGGTTAATTGTTTGATTGGGTGTGGAGCAAACATCAATCACACCGATCAAGATGGCTGGACAGCACTGAGATCTGCCGCTTGGGGTGGTCACACGGAGGTGGTTTCTGCGCTGCTCTATGCCGGTGTGAAAGTGGACTGTGCGGATGCCGACAGCCGGACAGCTTTGAGAGCGGCGGCTTGGGGAGGACACGAGGACATTGTGCTGAACTTGCTACAACATGGTGCTGAAGTCAACAAAGCTGACAACGAAGGTAGGACCGCTCTGATAGCGGCGGCATACATGGGACACAGAGAGATTGTGGAACACCTTCTGGACCACGGGGCAGAAGTGAATCACGAGGATGTCGATGGCAGGACCGCACTCTCTGTAGCTGCTCTTTGTGTGCCTGCGAGTAAAGGACATGCATCCGTTGTCAGCCTTTTAATTGATCGAGGTGCTGAAGTAGATCATTGTGACAAAGACGGCATGACCCCGCTGCTGGTGGCTGCCTACGAAGGACACGTTGACGTGGTTGACTTGCTCCTAGAGGGGGGAGCAGATGTGGATCACACAGATAACAACGGGCGTACGCCCCTCTTAGCAGCTGCTTCCATGGGCCACGCTTCCGTCGTGAACACACTGTTGTTTTGGGGTGCGGCTGTGGACAGCATTGACAGCGAAGGCAGGACAGTCCTCAGCATAGCCTCAGCCCAAGGCAATGTTGAAGTGGTACGCACCCTCCTGGACAGAGGGCTCGATGAAAATCACAGGGATGATGCTGGGTGGACCCCTTTGCACATGGCAGCTTTCGAAGGCCACAGATTAATATGTGAAGCGCTTATTGAACAAGGTGCTAGAACAAATGAGATTGATAACGATGGACGAATCCCTTTCATATTAGCTGCGCAAGAGGGTCATTATGACTGTGTGCAGATATTACTGGAAAATAAGTCCAACATCGATCAGAGAGGTTACGACGGGAGAAACGCACTGCGGGTTGCTGCCCTGGAAGGCCACAGGGACATTGTGGAGCTGCTTTTCAGCCACGGAGCCGACGTTAATTACAAAGACGCTGACGGGAGGCCTACCCTTTATATTCTGGCCTTAGAAAACCAACTTCCCATGGCCGAGTATTTTTTAGAAAACGGTGCCAACGTAGAGGCGAGCGATGCGGAAGGAAGGACAGCGCTTCACGTTTCCTGCTGGCAGGGCCATCTGGACATGGTGCAGGTTCTGCTAACCTGCCACGCCGACGTCAACGCCGCGGACAACGAGAAGCGGTCCGCCTTGCAGTCTGCGGCGTGGCAGGGCCACGTCAAAGTGGTGCAGCTTCTGATCGAGCACGGGGCTGTGGTCGACCACACTTGTAATCAGGGAGCCACTGCCCTCTGCATCGCAGCCCAGGAGGGGCACATCGACGTGGTGCAGGTCCTCCTGGAGCACGGTGCTGACCCCAACCACGCCGATCAGTTCGGACGCACCGCCATGCGCGTGGCAGCCAAAAACGGACACTCCCAGATCATTAAATTATTAGAGAAATACGGCGCGTCTACTTTGAACGGCTGTTCCCCCTCTCCTGTTCACACCATGGAGCAGAAGCCTCTGCAATCAGCGTCTTCAAAAATGCAGTCGTTGACAATTAAATCAAACAGCTCCGGCAGCACAGGCGGTGGGGACATGCAGCCCTCACTGCGCGGTTTACCCAACGGGCCAGCGCACGCGTTCAGTTCTCCTTCCGAATCTCCAGACTCTACAGTCGATCGGCAGAAGTCATCCTTGTCAAATAATTCCCTGAAAAGCTCCAAAAATTCATCTTTGAGAACGACGTCGTCCACAGCCACGGCTCAAACCGTGCCGATGGACAGCTTTCACAGCCTGTCGTTCACGGAGCAGATCCAGCAGCACTCGCTGCCCCGCAGCAGAAGCCGGCAGTCCATCGTGTCCCCGTCTTCCACCACCCAGTCCCTGGGGCAGAGCCACAACTCCCCCTCCAGCGAATTCGAGTGGAGTCAAGTCAAGCCCAGTTTGAAGTCAACTAAAACAAACAAAGGGGGGAAATCAGAGAATTCCAGCAAATCTGGGTCAGCAGGGAAGAAAGCTAAACAAAATAATTCCTCACAGCCAAAGGTTTTAGAATATGAAATGACTCAGTTTGATTCCAGAGGGCCTGCAGCCAAACCCGGGTCCAGCACCCCCCCTACACAAATACCCTCGGAATCGCAGTGCAAGATCATGATACCGTCCGCTCCGCAAGAAGTCGGTCGATCGCAGCAGCAGTTTCTCATTCACCAACAAAGTGGGGAGCAGAAGAAGAGAAATGGAATAATGACAAACCCGAATTACCATCTTCAGAGCAACCAGGTGTTTCTCGGTAGGGTTTCCGTGCCAAGAACAATACAAGACAGAGGGCATCAGGAAGTGCTGGAAGGGTACCCTTCCTCAGAGACGGAATTAAGCCTTAAACAAGCCCTGAAGCTTCAGATTGACGGCTCTGACCCTAGTTTCAACTATAAGAAGGAGACACCGTTATAACAGGTAATATTTCATCAACATTAAGAATAAAATGCAAAAGTCTGGTTCCCTTCACTTAGGAATTTGAACTTTCCCGGCCCGAGCACTCCCTTTCCTCCTTTTATTGTCTCAAGAACATACTATTTCACATACTTTATATGTTTTATTTATTCTTGTTTATTATTTGTCTCCTTCCACCTTAAGTGTAACCTTTGTGAGGGTAGGGATTGTTACCTGTTTCACTGCTGGATTCTATGCATTGGAGATACTGCTTGGATTTACAGTAGTTTCTCAGTAAAAATGTGTTGAGTAAGTGAATAAATGAATGAATGTACTATTTATGGATCTCAGATTAAGAATTCCTTTAAAAAATATATATATATATATTATTGATTTTTTTACAGAGAGGGATAGATAGTTAGAAACATCGATCAGCTGCCTCCTGCACACACCCTGCTGGGGATGTGCCTGCAACCAAGGTACATGCCCTTGACCGGAATCAAACCCGGGACCTTTCAGTCTCTATCCACTGAGCCAAACTGGTTTCGGCAAGAATTCCTTTTACAGTCATTTTCCTTCTTAAAATTTCTTTGATGGTAACGGGGAGAGGGGCTATTTCTATAATACTCCTTGGTTTGAATAAAATAGTGTATGTAGTGCTTTGTAGATAGATAGTAAATATTAAGTCCTAACTTTTCATTCAAGGAGTCCAAGATTTAATCAGCAAAAGATAATTTTTAGTAGGACAGATTCTTAAGACTCTTTGAGTAAAGTTTGCACACACCAGGAATGGGGGTGGAAAGATTAATGGCTATATTGGCAAGCGTTTTTAGGTCCCACTATAATTAGACATAAGAATTAAATGTTTAAACCTTGAAAATAAATTCACATTTATTAAATAAAAACATCTTTTTCTTCTTCCCACCTCAGTGGATGATTCATTAATTACATAAGGGAAGTTAATGGGAAAACAGATAACATGATTTTATATTATCGATACTTTTTAAAAAGCACATTTCTGATATTAGAGATAGATCAAAGATTTCATTAGGAATATTTTCCTACACAGGTATGTTTTCCCAGTTTGCTTAATTATTTTTATCCTCTATTGTACTTTTTCCTTTTAGCAAATGGAAATCTCTTTCTTATGCTTCTTTTGTCTTTGGAGATATAGTATTAAGTGACACATTATCATAAATTTTGCTATATCTTCTAATAGTAAGCATTTCCATGTGAATCTAGGAACAACTGGTCAAAGCTCATTAAAAAATAATATGTATAAAGTACTTAATTCATTCCCCATTGTTGTTGTTTTAAAAAAAATAAATACTTAGTTCTGATAGTATCCGGTCTCCCACTCTCATGATATCTTTTGTAAAGGCAAAGTATAAATATGTATATTAAACAGGAAAACACATGAATTAAGGTAAACATTTTGTGGAATCTTTAAAAGTGGTTTATAAGTTAAATAATGAACCTCAGATAATCTACTTTGTTCTTTATATGGTAAGCTTATATAGTCTTATAGGGTTTTAAAATTATATGTAGTTAAAATAATAAGTATAATGTAGAAATTAATCTATTTTTTTAACTTTTGCATTAGTTTCCTGTTCTGTGAGACAGAAGACATTGTGATTGGAGTGGTTCTTCAACTACTGGATGGAAACATAACATGCCTGTTGATTGCTGGAAAAAAAGAAGAATGTGATATTTGCAGTTCAGTTACCTTAATTACTGTAATGTGCCTAAATAGCAAGGCTGCCTTCTCAGTGTAACCCTCTGTGCTTAAAAATTTCATTTAGTGTGCTTTGTATTCACTACACAAGAATAAGCACTTTTTTTTAAAATGCAGGTATATACTGCAGTTCCCTGATAAAAGCTGAAAAATTTTTGAGTATTTTAAGATTTGATAAATGTGCATGTGCCATGATCAAATATATATGAAAGGCAGTGTTCCTTGTATTTATTATTTTTTTTCTTTTTGTGGCAAACAAAAGTTAAGCCTACTGTTTCAGTCACATTTGTATTGCTATAGTGTGTGGCTTGTTTCCTATATCTTTAAAAATGTCACTCATTAAAATAAATCATGCAACTATTTATACTCACTACACCTTCAGCATTGGTTGAAAATGAGTTTCTATTTAATGCCATTGAGGGAAAGGAAAATGGTTTCTTCATAGATGTAAAAATAATTTCTAGTATTTTAGGGAGCTGCTCTAAGTAGTTTAAATTTGGATTTCCTAGTAGAATCCTCCTAATCTCTGGCTAAATGTGTCAAAAAGAAAAAGACTATAGGCAGAACAAAGTTCTGTTTCATTTCAATGGGGTACAATTTCACCTTCCATTCTCTCATCATTCCACCTTCAAGAAAACAGTCATTCCCGAGGCATGGAAGTCTCAAGACAGACACACTGCAGCCGCATGTGTATGTGGGAGGAGCTATGCCTGTCTCTCTGGGGGTAGATTTTTGATCCTGAACAATTCATTGACTACCCTTATCTCTACCATCCAGTTGAATCAAATACAATTTACCAGTGTGAATTTTAATGCTGGTTTCTTTCTCAGTTGCTTCTGTTTTGTAAATCGCTGCATGATGGAAATAGCCCCCACTCAAAATCAGTTGGATCAATTTTAGTGGTTAGTTTGATGAATATTCTTGAATGTAGTAAGTGTTGTCCTTCACAGATGATACCACTAACCTGTCAGTCATAACACGTGTATTTTTTTATTGGTATTTGATAAACAGTAATTTTTTGTCCACATACTCTTTCCTGCTTTCTTCTTTGAACAATTGTCTGTGGGATGACTGAATGCTATGGTTAAGGGTGAGGTCTATGTCCAAGGAAAACAAAGTTGAGTTGTTTTCCTTGGACATAGGAACATGTGACCCACAGCCTTGGCCTCCTAGAGGGACTCTAACCCAGGGGGACAGTTGAGTGGGTGGTTGTATGTCTGGAAAGGTTAGAATGCACTTAGAAGCCAAGGGTGTGGGTTTGATGTTTAAATAAGCCCTGAAAAATCTCACAAAATCCAGAAGTTCTGTTCTTTCCATATATTGTTGATAAGGAGGAGGAATGAGGAAAGAGAATTTGGAGATTTAGCACAAAACTTACTATTGGAAGAGAATGTTTAGAAAATGTCTTGGGAACAGAGGTCAGTAATGTCATCTTAAATGAAGGATATACATGTAGTGCATTGTTCACAGAAACAAACGTGGAATTGGTTGTGATAAATGTTTCACTTGGATCTTTATGTAAGGCTTTTCATTTTGCTTTTTTTTTTTAAAGTCAGCAGCACTCTTTTTATGTCATCAAGTCATAAGCAGGAGTAGGAAATGCATTAATAAGTTCACTCGCTATTAAGGTGACATGGCAATATGGATAACTCGAATGTGAATGTTTCAAGTATTGAATTTTTTGTCCCTATGGGACATTTATTAAATACACTTAATAGGACTCTTGCAAAATAGCCTTAGAAGTGTTAATGATTCTATTAATAAATATGAATATACACTATTAAGAGAACCAATCTTATTCATATCTCAAATACAGTACATTTACATTACTGTAGAAGATGAAGCTCTAATGTTTTATTAGGTGTATTTTTTTTTAGAAAGAGAACCCTGAAAGCTGCCAGTTTTTCTATTAACCTTGAATTATTGGAATTGTATTTATTTAATTTTATTGTTTGTTTTTTGTTTTACAAAAAAATGCACCTTGTGGCCAAAGGGCAAAGATATGACTCATTACATAAGAGATTTATGTTTTTCAAAGAGCTAAATGTTTTCATGTTCACATTATAGTACCACTTGAGACAGTTGGTAGGAAGAGAACCAATTGGGGAAAAAAAGATTTTCGATATGATGTTTTTATATTATGTTTGGAACAGGACAAACACGGCCTTTGGTCAAGCTGAGGGTGAGAGGGTGCCAAGATGCCTGACTGCTGACTTCTTCCTGTGCTGACTTAATACTATGATGGAAAATGGCTTTTCATCCTTAACAAGAGTAAAAATAGTCCCCCAACTATAACTCCTAAATAGCTATTTTAAGAATTAAAATGTTTAAATTTTGTAAATCACTTGATGCCACTACACACCTGTGATGCCATGTGCTTATAACGTTTTTATAATATCCCATCCGTGTCCATCCCTAAAAGTCATGAGGTGGTAAAAGGGGAGTAATAAAGAGCACAGTTCTGAAGAATGGAAATCTGAATGCCTGTAGGAAAGGTCTGACCAGAACTCTGTACTGTGTGGCACACAGTATCTTTTATCCCTTAGCCTTGCCCCTCTCCTACTGGAACCTTCACCAAAAACAATTCCTACTTAAAAAAAACAGGAGTAAATATTTTTCTTAGTATTGTCTGGCTATGCAAATGTTTGTTTTGCTTCATGTCTCCATTTACATGTCTCAGCAAATGTAGTTACAAATACTTTTTTTTTTTCCGTTGGTTTGAGGTATGTAAATAGCCTAAAATGTACATTGAACTTCACAATGTAAAAGTTTTATTTTATTCCTTGTATTATATTAAGCAAAAATCCCTATGTATATGAAAGTGCATAATAAATATATTTGCTTTACAGAGGATATCTTGTTTTAATTTTATTTTTGAGCCAATAGAACATGCATGACATGTTTACAGTAAAACAACTGTTACTTGTTTTACATTATTAACTTGGTTTAATAAATACTGAGCAAATGAATTTGGAACTATTTTTTTAAAAATGAGACACGATTACTTTCCAAAGGAAGGCAGAGAAAAAGATCTAGCCTATAAGTCTTCCTAAAGCTTCTGCAAGGACATACTGTTTGTTTCTCCTGGCTTACACAATGTCTCCCCATGTTAGGTGTCATGTCTGCGAGATTGCAGTAATCCAATAAATTGTGTGCATGTATGCTCCTTGACTGTCAGAATATTATGGCCATCTTGCATTTGATATTTTGGAGTTTTATTGAGAACATGGTCATTCATTTTCCAAATAAATTTCTGTATATTCTTCACTCAGTAAACTTGAGTCAC